TTTTTAAGGACCAAATGAACTTGGATTTAAAAAAAATATTTTTAAGGACCAAATGAACTTGGATTTTTAAAAAATAGTTTTAAGGACCAAATGAACGTGAATTTTTAAAAAATATTTTTAAGGACCAAATGAACGTGGATTTTTAAAAAATATTTTTAAGGACCAAATGAACCTGGATTTTTAAAAAATATTTTTAAGGACCAAATGAACTTGGATTTTTAAAAAATATTTTTAAGGACCAAATGATGAATGAATTAAATAATTTCAAGGATCAGAAAAGCTACTATCTAGACTACATATAAATGTATATTTTTTAAGGACTATTTTTTTAAATTTAAATTTAAGAAAATATCTTCGAGAATCAAATGGCGAATGAATGAAATATTTTCAAGGAGAAGAGATAGAAGGCAACAATTTTGCACATTTGTGTATTTTGCCAGGTTAAGGCAGGTAAAGTAAATGATCCATGTCTGTCCACGTTTTTGTATAGCCCCCATATAACGATGCCCCTACATTCGGTATTTTCATGATTTTAGCGACATTATAGACGGGAATTGTTTCAAATTCCGTATTTGAAATTCGGATTCGGTACGACAGTCTATAAAAAAAACGTAACAGTTTTCATTTAAATTTCTTCCAAATGGTGGAGGGTATTAAAAGTTCGGCCGGTCCGCTTTTTTACTAGTTTTAAGAATATTTTTGCAATGACTGAACGAAAAACGTGGACTTCTTCAAGGATTTTGAGAGACACAAACGTTAAGAATATTTTATCAATGACTGTAGCAAAAATGTATGTTTGCAAATGCAATTTCTTATTTTAATTTGTTAATAGATACTAGATAAAAGAACCATCAGATCTACAAACTTAGATTTTATAAGGATATTATTAAAAAAAATCAAAGCTAAATACCTGGATTGTTAGTAATTTTTTTTAAGGACTAGTTGGGCCTCAATTATGAATGTTCGGAATAATTTAACAACATTTTTTGTACATTTTAACATTTTTTGTACATTTTTTAGAATAAATTTTATAACCTATAACCTATAATTGCCACTATGGAACCTCCATTATTTCTGTAAACAATTTTGTTCGCCAATTTGTCAAAGTAATTTAATTTTATTTAATATGCCTGAAATAGTAGACGACAATGTCCTCCCATCCCTACCTGCCACTAAAGGAGACCCCCTGCCCCTTACCCACACTTGTTTTTCTTCTTCTTTAATTAAAGTGACTAACATAGGCACTTCTTCGGTAATTGATTAGCTGTCATTAGGTTTTGCATGTTTTTCGCATTATTGACAATTAACTTTGATTTGTACGTTGTTGGCCGCATGGCCTGGGTAACTGTCAGTGATGGTAGGTGTTGTTGTTGCTGCCTTTTTTGTCATTGTCTTGTTATCACCTCTCTGATTTGCGTATTTTATGCATTATCAACGAACGATGTAAGCACGTTTTTCTGGCATATCTTAGATATTTTAATTTAATTTTCAAATAACATTGACATATCCAGGAATTGCGTGAAAATACTCAACGACATCGACGACGACAACGACGACAGTATTGCTTGATTATTGACACTTTACATGATTTATTTTGCGAATAGCTAATAAGTAGATCCCTATCTCAAACCCCATTCAATGGGGGCGAAAATAAGGAACACAAATTAATTAGAGAAACAGATATCGCTTACATGGAATGCTAAATATTTATTCAATGAACAACGGCAGCAAATGTTGATTTATGTTAATAATGGCGTACCCTATATCACCATATGTAACGAAATCTAAAAGATTGCAAATGCTGTTTGTCAAAATGGCTGATTAATTTTTTTAATAATAAAAAAGAGTACAAAAGTTATACCTATCACTAAAAATTCCAAATATGTCTTTTTATGAGTTGATATGTGTTAGCGGGTAAAACGTCGTTTTATATACAATTTCATATTTATAAATTCCTTTTCCAGAACAAGAAAAAATTCACTACCTTTGCAATTATCGCAAGTTTTTTCTTTATGAATTTGGATAGTTTCCACCTCGGTAACGATGTGGCGGAAACTTATTCCTAAAAACTATATATTTCTAACTGTCTACGTCTCATAAACTTTTATTGTATAATTAAACAATTGGCACTGATAACCTATGTAAATTTACGTCACTTATGTATGCATTTGCCAAGAAACAAAAACAAAATGCTTCCATTTCTTTACACTGTTTTGAGCAAGTTTTGTTTTTTTGCCCTCAGCCATATGGCTACAGACGGTACATGTCATTTGAAAGGATCCAAAACGTGCCTCATCGAAATAACGGTTTTACATCCCTGGTGTCCGTGGACCAAAATCGTTTCAGAACATATGGAGTTGAACTACAGGTTTTGGTCCGTTCGTCATTGTTATATTGGGTTATTTGGGGTCTATAAGAAAACGTGGACCTGCATAGGCAACTATTGCCATAAGCCATTAAAATATTCGAATACGAAACTTAAAAAAAGGTGAATAATGTAGCTAAAATCATCAAAATAACGAATATAGGGAGGTACTGTTTTATCGGGACTATACCAAGACCTGGACCTGCATAGACAATTTTCTGTCATAAACTGTAGTTCCCATTACGAACTCTTAATACGAAATTTGCAACAACTCCGGTGAATAATGTCGCTAAAATCGTCAAAATATCGAAAAGCAGGGGGCTGTATGTAGGCTATAAGTTCGTGGACCTATATAGACATTTTTCTTCCAGTGGAAAAAGTACTTAGAAAGAACTTCTTATATAGATTTGTAGACAATTTCATTAAAAATGTAGCTAAATTTATCAAAATACCGAATATAGCGAGTTGCCGTTATATGGAGTAACTCTCTATAGACAATACCCTTTCCGGGGGTAAAATACTCAGAACGAACTCCTTTTGTGGATTATCAAACAATTTCATTGAGAAATTTGGCTACAATCATCAAAATACCGAATATCGTGGGGTACCGTTTTATGGGAGCTATACGATATCGTTGACCGATAGCCCACCTTCAAACATAACCTACCTGCAGACAAAAGACTGACCTGTGCAAAATTGTAGCTTCCAATCAATATTCGTTTTGACTCTAGCGTGATTACAATAGACGGACAGTGCTATCTCTTAGAATTTCACACCGATCAACAATATGTATATTTTGTTATGTCTAAAATTATTATTTCGATGAGTTACAAACGGAATGACGAACTTAATATATCCTCAATACTATGTATGGTGGAGGGTATAAAATCCACTTTTGTATCACTGGAGGACTTTGAAAAGATACTCTTAAAATATCATAGATTTTGGCCCTAAAAGTATGTTATTAAAAATCGACGTTTGTGGCTTTGATGGCCCTTGGAAAAACATTCTTACAAAAATGCACGTTAAAAAGTCAGCTCTGCGAAGCTTTGGATAAATCCTTTCAGTCTCAAATTGTTCTTAAAAATTATTCTAATTCCAGTTTGTACCTTTTATGGTCCTTGAAAAATAATCCACACTCATATATTTTTATCCTTGTAACATATATTTTAAAAAAATCTACGTTCGTAACTCCGAAAGTCCTTGAAAAGAATCAAATATCGACGCACAGGGCTCAGTAAGTCCTTTAAAGAATATTTTTGGATGAAAAATAAAAAAAAAAATAGTTTGTGGCTCAACTGGTCCTTGAAGATATATTGCTCAAAAAATCAACGTTTGCGGCTCTAATGGTGTTTGAAAAATTAAAAAAATTAAAAAATTCGAGTTTGTACCTTTAATGGGTCTTAAAAATAGTCTTAAAAGTCCACTTTTGTGGCTATGATGGACCTTGAGAAGTACTTTTAAAATATTCATGTTTGTTGCTGTTGCACATCAGCTATAGGTGGTACAAGAAAACTTTTTCTTAAAAATTAATTTCTATAGCTCTGATATTCATTAAAAAAAGTATATCAAATTTCCAAACTTGTACTTTTAATGGTTTATGGAAAAAATTCTTAAATTTTTCTTGACAAAATCTTCTCGAAAAAAGTCTAGTAGTCCTTGAAAAAATATTAAACGAAAAATACAGGTTAGTGGCTTAGTCCTTGGTTGTCCTTGGAAAAACATTGTTTTAAAAAATATGCATTTGTAGCCTTTGGGGTTCTTCAAAAATTCGCTAAAAAATCACGTTTAAATCTCAAATATTCCTTGAACAAATTTTAAAAAAAATATATAAGTTTTTAGATCAGGTGGGTCTTCGAAAAATATTTTAAAAATCCACGTAATCGTAAGGAAATAATACATTTTTGTGAATTTTAATTTTTTTTAAACTGGGCTAATATTTCCAATAGTTGAAAACAAAAATTAAATGTATTGAAAAATTCCGCATTTTTGTATTTTTTTTTTTTTTTTTGTTTGTATAATTTTTTTAATTTTTCACTTTTTTTTTTAATTTAATTTAATTTTTTTTTTAATTTTTGTCGCTCTGTGTTTTTTCTAATTGCGTTTGTGTTTTCAGATTGTTTTTCCACGTTGTCATTTAATGTCAATTATGTTTTATTGTTGGCAAAATGATAACGGCAACAATGTCTGAAGCTAATCATGCTGATTGCATTTTAAACTACCCCCCTATAGGGGGGTTCTCTATAGAGAACCAAATCGCATTTGTAATTCAAAAACATATTTGTTGACTTTTTAAATTGCGAATCGCAGCACAATCGCACGCAATGGAAATATTCGAGACGAGACAAATTTCTTGAAAAATATAATAAAAAAAATTAATTGGCATTTCTGTAGGGGAAATGTTTTGAATGTTTTCGAGGAAGTTTCTTCGAAATTTTGTTATGTTGCTTTTTTTAATGTAAGTTTCAGAAAGAATATAAGTTTTTTTTATTTTAAAAATATATAAACAAATTATAAATTTAAAGGCTGCATATTTTGGTATTGTCGTGGCGGGGCATCAAGAATTTATTTATTTGTATATTATTTATTTCAATAAATTCCTTTTTTTAATGATTTGTTTTTATTTTTCTTTCAGATATTACTTAATTAAGCACACGTTGTAGTGGACCATAACATAAGGCAACAGAAACAAAAGGTAAGATCCAGGGTTAGATATTATTTTTTAAAGGTCCAGGAGGGTGGTTAAAAAAATTAAAATTAAAATTTTCGAAAAACATATACAGGGTGAAATAAAAAAACTGCAACAAAGTCAAACGAAATAGTTTTTACACAAAATGTCGGAAATAGCATTAAATTTTAGAATAAGTTTAGATATGTTGAAATTTGTCACCTTTGGTACGTCAAACGACATAATTTTTATTTTATTTTTTTTTCATTTAATTTTTTTTTTTTAATTCTAAGCAAAAAATTTCGGAAATAGCATCAAAATTTAGAATAAGTTTAGAATTGTTCGAATTGGTTACCTTTGGCACGAATTATGGCCTTCAAGCGACCAATGAAACCATCACACGCTGCCCGAATGTTGCTCTGCGGTATTTTGTCCCATTCCCAGCGAAGCGCTTGTTTGAGATGTTCGGCACCTCCAATTTTTTTTAGTGCCAGCCCTGCTTTCCAAAATACTCCAGACACAACAGTCCAACGGATTGGTATCCGGAGATTTTTGTGGCAATTGTGCGCTGGAAATGAAGCGAGGAACCTCACTTTGTAACCAATCTTGGGTGGCGCGTGCTGAGTCCTGTTGGAATGTCCAAGGTCTGCGAGATCTTAATACACCCACCAAAATATTTTCGCGATAATATTCGGCATTTATTCTGATGCCACTGTCGATTAATACGAGCGGAGAGCGACCATCGGCTGTTATGGCGGCCCACACCATTACCATGGCCGGCGCTTGAGTTCTGGTGGCTAACCGAAGATGAAAATTTTCAGCTGACCTCTTTGGCAAGTAAACACGATCATTTTGTTTGTTTACAAACTGCTGGGCAAGGAATGTTTTCTCATCGGAGACGGAGAAAACCAAATTCGGCAGTTCGCCACTTTCGGCCAAGCGAAGCAACTCTTTAGCTCTTTTGAGTCTATTTTCTTTCAGATGCGACGTAAGTTCTTGCACTTTTTGGAATTTCAATGACTTCACCTAGAGCTCATTTTTTAAATATTTGCCGAATGGAATATTGCGATATGTTCTGCTCACGAGCCATTTTTCGGCAACTGCGGCGCGGGTTTCGATCGAGTTGCTTCTTTACTTTTCGAACCATTTCCGCTTATGTTGCTGTTTTTTCCGTCCACTTTCTTGACGTCGGGCTACGCGACCAGTATCACGGTAACGAGCAATGGTACGAAACACAAAAGATTTATTCATATTTAAATGCTGGAGTGCTTTAACGATAGCCACTTGTGGTTTTCCAGCCAAATCGAAAGAAATCACACTATCACACTTGAATTCCGAACACGACTAACTTTTTTTTTGAAAAATTATCCCCCAAATGCTTTTGTACGCTTGTAAACAATATAAAGAGCTGCCACTGGAATAATTTTAACAGCTGTCGGACGAGGGGCTTAGGAATGACAGCAGTTGGTTGCAGTATTTTCATCTCACCCGGTATATTTGAAAATGCTTGAAATACTTCATGTGCTAAATTGGAAGAATCCATTTGAGTTCACTTTCATATTGACTTCCATTTTATTCTCATTTTTATTATTTTTTTTTTAATTAATTAATTTATTTTTTTATTTTTTATTTAGTTATTTATTTATTTATTATTATTATTATTATTTTTTTTTTTTTTTTTTGAGTATGATTTCTACAGTGGAGACCTTTGATTTTTTTTTTTTTTTTTTTTTTTTCAATAATAAAGGACTAGAGACTATTCTTTAAATGCTCCCCAGAAGGGTTCAAAAAACATGCATTTCAAAATGTTTGCAATACTTCATGAATTAAATTCAAACAATCCATTTGAGTTCACTTTAATATTGACTTCAATTCCATTCTCTTGCTTGCAACCTCAATTCCAACAAATAATTCTTTCTTAAATTATACTTTGGCCTAAAGCCCTGAAAACATTTTCTCAATTCACTTAATGTCCTTCATAGTTTGTTCGTTCCATCGTTTGTTTGTAACGATGCTTTCTTTTTCTCCCTGTTATGTTATTGTCATTTATTATTCAATATCTTTGTTATGTTTTATTAAAAAAAAACTTGGGGGCCAACATAAATTTATTTTCATTCTCCATGGAAACACTTTTTCCACTGGCCTTTTCACTTTTTCTACTCCTCCACTCTGTCCTTCCAAACACTGACTGCACCAGTTTTCCTATCACCGGCAAAGGCCTAGGCCAGCCGTGTCTGTTAAAACATTTATCGAAAAAGCCACAGCAACACAAAACGGGAGGATCCAATTTGTTTAAGAAAAGAAGGCTGCAAAAAAATAAGGAAAAACTCCAAGGGAGGAGAGCGAATAAAGATGAAATTCATATAAAGCAAATGTTTCCATTTCACGCGAATATATCAGAATTTATGAGGTTATGTTTGTTGTCATTTTTTTCTCTTCTTCTTTTCTGCAAGAAGAAAATATTGTTATTGTAGAAAAGGGAGAACAAAAAAACCACCGACGAAGAATAGATGCTGAACGAACGAGCGAACAACACAAGGAATCATTTTGCCCAAGAATGTGGAATGAAAATGCATTGACTGCCTGCCTGCCTGATAATGACAGGCAAAATAAATATCGGAATGGAATATGTTCCTTGTGGCTGGTTATTTACAAAAGGCCATGAAGCCAAAATTGTGTCCCACAAATAAATGGATTTTGAAAAGTTTTAATGCGAGTGGTTAAACATGTTAAGGCTATGGGAGTTTTCATTATTAAGAAAAATCAATTAAAATTTGGTTCACAATTTTATTGGAAATGCAATGACATATAAAATTGTCCTGGATTTTTAATAAGAATTTTGTTGGTTACAATTAACCTACTCTGGACAAATTGAATCTAAACAATATAAATGAACCCCAATTTCCCCACACTAGCTGCAGGCTTTTCTAGAAGTTATAACCCACTATTCTGTATTTAAGGTCTTTACAAACAATTATCTGAGGGTCTTCATAAAAAAATTTAAGAATCCGTAAATTCAACATCGAAGGTCTTCATAAAAAAATCACAGGTCCATGATTTTAACCCCGAAAATACTCACAAAAAATATTTAATAAACAATAATTTTGGCTCCGAAGATCTTCACACAATTTTCTCAAAAATTCATGATAAAAACTTCGAAAGTCCTTGCAAAAAATATTCTGCAAAAACTGCAGATTTTGCCTAAGGAAGATTTTTCTGACAAATTTCCTTTTTAAAGTCCAAGGTTTTTGAAGACGTATGGAAAAAACATACATTATAATCAATTATTTTGTTCGAACTTGGCTCCGAACGTCTTCCCAGGAAATTTAGAAATCCTGATGGGGCTTTGATGGTCTTCCCAACAAAAACTATTAAAAATTGTGAATTCTTGATCCGAAAGTCATCCCAAAAATAACTTTTGTTGGTACAATTAACCTACTCTGGACAAATTGCATCTAAACAATATAAATGAACCCCAATTTTCCTACACTGGCTGAGGGTCTTTATCAAAAAATTTTAAGAATCCGTAATTTCAACACCGATGTCTTCATAAAAAAAATTCCAAGGTTCATGATTTTAACCCCGAAAATATTCACCAAAAAATTAAAAAAAAATCAAGTACTTCTTAAATTTAAAAATCCGTAATTTCAACCCCGAAGGTCTTCATAAAAAATATTCCGAGGTCCATGATTGAAACCCCGAAATATTCACTAAAAACATTTAAAAATCCGAAGATCTTCACACAATTTTTTTTTTTAATTCACGACATTGTCCCTGAAAGTCCTTACCAAAAATATTCTCCAAAAACTGCAGATTTTACTTTAGAATATCTTCCTGACAGATATTCTATTAATAATCCGCTATTTTGTTCCAAAGGTTTTCAAAAGAAAATATTTACACAAAAACCCAACATTTTTCCTCTAAAAATCATAAAAAATGTTATTCCAAACCACTATGCCTTGTCTCGAAAAGAACAAAAATATCCATAATTCTGGATGCGAATGTCGATACGAAAATAATTTTTAAAAATGTTAGATTTTGACTTCAGAGGGTATTCCAAAAATATTTACAAATATCCAAAATTTTAAGAGCTAAGATTCTTCACAAATATAATTCTTAAATAAACAAACGAATATGGCCCGGATGGTTTTTACAAAACTCTCCTTAGAAATTCCGAATTTTGGCAACAATATTCTTTGAAAAAAAAAAAATATTATCCGAACATCTTCCTAAAAAGGCATTTGAAATGCCTGATTTTGGCTTAGATGGTCTTTCCAAAAAAAATTTTTTTTAAATGTTCTCGATATTTGACCCCGAAGGTCTTCCGAAAAATATTTTTAAACATCCAAGATTTTTGGCTCTAAAGGCTCAATTTTAGTCAGACGGTCTTCCGTAATTTCGGCATCAGCATTCACGAATTCGAAAATATTTCTAGAAAAACATGGAAAGTTCAGAATTTTTGCTACGAAAGTCTATTTGAAAATAATTTTTAACAGTCCGATTCGAACAATTCTAGATCTCGGCTATGAAGGCCTGATCAAAAATGATTTGAAAATTTCTCGGTTTTTTAAAAATATCTGTGGTAATAAAGTCCTCAAAAAGTCTCAAAAATCCCCCATAGTCCTTTGAAAGATAATATTACAAAGTCCACCGTTATAAAAAGAAAGGTCCTTTGAAAAAATCTTACAAAATTTATGCTCATAACGAAGAAGGTCCTTTGGAAAATCTATGCACACAAAGGATAAATAGGAAGATCCTTTGAAAAAAAATTCTTTAAAATTTAAGATTAAAAAAAAATGAGGGTCCTTATCTTAAATCTTAAAAAATCGCTTTTACAAAATAGAGGTCCTTTAAAAAAATAGAAATCAAAAATCCAAAGAATGTACTTAAAAAAAAAATTAAAAATTATATCTTTAAATATTTCTCATTTTAAGAGAGAAGGACTTTTGAAGATCTTAAAAAAACCTGTGATCGTGCGATGGAAGGTCGTTTGAATCACACAGACATAACTTTAAAAAGGATGTATT